ATGCCCTCTGAGACCTGAGGTTTGGCTCTTCTAGTTGGGGACTGTGGGTTCAGTTATAAGGATGAGATTGGAGGCAATTTCTCTGAAATCAAACCAAAAAAAGGAATCAAAGTCAGAAAAGAATTTTGCACCTTTTTCAAATGCCACTCTGCTGCAGGTAAAGAATTTAACAGCTTATGCAAAGTATAGCCAGAGCCAATAATAATTTGACTGACATGGTTTGGCACCAAATTGTCTTTTTTTTTTAGTTTGCTTACAAGGTGGACATTTTTAAAAAACCAAACAAAACATTTCTAGGCACTGTCTGGTATTTTTGTATGTTTGCTCTTGCAAAGATTAATATGCATTTAGACAGAACTAAGTTTTAAAAACTTGCCTAAACAGGTATATTGCAGACTGTGGCTTTTTAGGAATTAAGACCAATAGAGCTGTGGGGAAAAATACTGTATTTGAGACTGATCAGAATTGTTTCATTAACCGTCAGGTTTCTCATTTCTCTCCCTCTGTGTCCTGAATTATAGGGCTGCACTTTCTCTAGATGTGACTTTTAAGCTTTTTTGGGAGAGGAGGTTTTTTCTCTTTGTCCCACCATCACAAATGAATTTGCTAATATTTTTGTTCCATTTTTTTGAAGCAGGTATCATTTAATAATATTGATATTGTTTGGAAAAGAAACATATTTTCCAAACAATAGGAGGGCGACTAAAATGATCAATGGTCTGGAGAACAAGCCCTATGAGGAGCGGCTTAAGGAGCTGGGCATGTTTAGCCAGAAGAAGAGAAGGCTGAGAGGAGATATGATAGCCATGTATAAATATGTGAGGGGAAGCCACAGGGAGGAGGGAGCAAGCTTGTTTTCTGCTTCCCTGGAGACTAGGACGTGGAACAATGGCTTCAAACTACAAGAGAGGAGATTCCATCTGAACATGAGGAACTTCCTGACTGTGAGAGCCATTCAGCAGTGGAACTCTCTGCCCCGGAGTGTGGTGGAGGCTCCTTCTTTGGAAGCTTTTAAACAGAGGCTGGATGGACATCTGTCAGGGGTGATTTGAATGCAATATTCCTGCTTCTTGGCAGGGGGTTGGACTGGATGGCCCATGAGATCTCTTCCAACTCTTTGATTCTATGATTCTATCATTTTAAAGAGAACATTCATTTTAATTGCAGATATTCAAATAAAGTTTTAGCTGGGACCATCATTTTAGCTGTTTTTATATACATCCAAATTTGTCATCATCGTCGTCATATAGATTCCCAAATGCTTGACTTTGCTGACAATCTCAATATTTGTCCTTTCCTTCAAAATTCTCTGGTCTCGCTGATGGACATTCTTAATTATTATTTCTGTTTTCTATCTGTAAATTGTAAGTCCAGCCACTTCTTCCAAATAATTTCCAATATTTTAGGTATTGTCTCTATGGGCTCTTCTGTTGTGATCACTACATCATTTGCAAAAAGCCCCAACTTGATTATTTAATTTTTGAATTTCACTCCTCTAATGGAGTGCTCTTATCATAGTTTTCTTGCCATTATAAATAATAGTGGTAATAATGGACATCCTTGTCTCACACTCTTCTGAATTTCAAATCTTTCAGTCAAATCACTGTTTATTTCTAATTTTGCATATTGTTTAACATATATTGCCTTCGCTCCTTTCAAGAAGTTTTGTCCGCATTTAATCATCTTGAGCATTTCTTTCATATATTCCCAGCTTAAACTGTCAATAGCTTTTTCTGCATCTAAGAAGAGGAAAGTGCTTTGGTTTTTCATTGTGTTTATGGGCATATTCTATCAAGTTGAGTCTCACTCTTGTATTTTCTCTAATTTGCCTTCCAGGTAAGAAGCCTACTTAGCCTTCGTGTATCCATCCAGTTAGTATATCCATCCAGTTAGGATAAATGTAATGTTTGCTCCCTGCCATGTGTTTGGTATCAACTTTTTTAGTATCTCATTCAAACCTTTGTGGAGGGGTAATGCAATTTCATCTGCTATTAGTTCCCAATTACAAATAGCAATTCTGAACTGCAGTCGGAGCAAAATGATGGTTCCAAAACATGTTTAAAGGCAGCACTGTTTAAAATATGGGATAATAATAAATTCCAATGAGAATAACAGAGTTTGCCAGCCATGGTCTGTTTAAATAATTTGCAAACAGAGAGCCTTTGTGATTTTTTTCAGTATATGGGGATAAGATCTTATTTCCTCTTTGCTCTTCTGGTTGGTGAAGAGACTTCAACATGCATTTAGTCCAATCCTTTGCCATACAGGAACACACAATCAGTGCACTCCTGACAGATGGCCATCAGCTCTCTGGTTAAAAACCTCCAAAGAATAAGACTCCAGCACAGATCTGTATCTAATTTAGTCAGGCCTGATTCTTAATATGGGGAAATACCATACAAGTGTCACAAAAGATCATAAATTTTCATTGTTGTTTTTATATTTCTTTTCCTTCTACTACTGTATTGCAGAACTTTGTATTCATGCAAGGTTGTGCACAACTAAAAAGATTTCCAAGTCAAAACTATACCTTCCTCTTGCAGAATATACAAAAAGCAAATGCTTTTAATTGCAAAATGCGTATTTATTTTAATCAAATTTTAAAGTAGTCATAGAGATGGTGGTGTTGTATTTTGAAAACAAGAAAGTATAGAGGTGCAGAGCTGGACAAAGATGGGGGATACATGGTTTGGGAAGAGTTATATCTCTGTAGCTGTGATAAGCTAAATGTGCTTTGAGCTTTCTCAAAGCACTTTCACAAGAGGGGTTAAGCAGGTATAGTCTAGTTTCAAGCAAGACAAGTTTGTAATGGGAGACACTATTTCAGGAGCTTCGTGTGATAATGTCCATAACCTATAGGTAAAGGTAGTCCCCTGACATTAAGTCCAGTCATGTCTGATTCTGGGGTGTGGTGCTCATCTCCAT